GGTACAGAAACAATGTAAGAGCCAGAGGATGAGAAGGAGTGCAGTGAAAGACCATCTACTGGACATGACACAGCCATTGCATTCGTGAACTCATATCAGCTGTGGTTACATGGAGGGGGGGGAGCTTATGAGATCGCACCCTTTTCTGTAGAACAGTTAATGGTTGCTGGGGGAGGGGAGGATAATTTTCTTCCGTGGTGTAGTCAGTGATAACTTCAGTAATTAACCCTCCACTCAAGTTCATTCAAACAACTCTAATTAAATTCAGTGGGGCACACACACACACACACACACACACACACACACACACCCCAAACCCAAACCCAACCAACCAAATAAACCAACAAAACAACAACAATACATGACGGTAGAAGGGAGACTTGTTGAGGAGAGAGACTCAGTGGGAGACGGAGGGTGATGGGGGGGGATGGGAGATGAAAATCACTGAAACATGTACATGGATGAAATCGTCAAACAATAAAAAGTAAATTTAAAAATCTTTAAAAATGTAAAAATTTTATGGCTGACACAACACATTTAAAAAGATGGGGGCTGGGGAGATGGCTCAGTGGTTAAGAGCACTGGCTGCTCTTGCAGAGGACCCCAGTTCAGTTCCCAGCACCTACATTGTTGCTAACAACTGCCTGTAACTCTACTTCCGGGGAGCAGACACCCTCTTCTGGCCTTTTCGGGCATTGCATGACACAAATGTATTTAGATACACAACCAGTAAAATGCTCATAGACATAAAATAAAAGCAATAAGTAATAATAAAGTGAACTTTGATTAGGATCAGCATGGGTCAGGTTGGATTCCTACGAGGATCTATTTTTATTTTCTGTCATTATTAGATAACATGACGGGGCAGCACACCTCCCATAGTGCTTCATATACAGGTGCTCAGTGATGCTCACATCTTTCTTTCCCCTTCCTTCCTGTTTTCTTCCAGCTCTGAAGCCTCTATGCTACCTTAGGAACCTCTCACTGACTGAAGAAATTTTGGCTACTCCTGACTTCTCTAGAATTTAGGTGTTCCTTCCCCCTCCCTCCCCCCTCCCTCCC